GTAGTAGTAGTAGTAGTAGTAGTAGTGGTAGTAGTAGTAGCAGTAGTAGTAGTAGTAGTAGTAGTAGTAGTAGTGGTAGTAGTGGTAGTAGCAGTAGTAGTAGTGATGGTAGTAGTGGTGGCCGCACACATTTAGTAGTAGTAGTGGTAGTAGTAGTAGTAGTAGTAGTAGTAGTAGTAGTAGTAGTAGTAGTAGTAGTAGTAGTAGTAGTAGTAGTAATAGTAGTAGTAGTAGTAGTGGCAGTAGCAGTAGCATTAGCAGTAGCAGTAGCAGTAGTAGTAGTAGTAGTAGTAGTAGTAGTAGTAGTAGTAGTATAATTAGTAGTAGTAGTAGTAGTAGTCGTCGTCGTCGTCGTCGTCGTCGTCGTCGTATGGGTAATCGTGATACAGATGATGAGTGTGAAAGTATCAAGGGCATCACTATTTAGAAAAAGTGTGCCAGTAATCCAACGAACCATAGAGATGCTAGTACGTGGTTTATTACGAAGACCACGAGCAATACTCATACTATTATGGATCATGCGGGTGCTACCCCAGTCGTAATACGACTATTACGAATACCAGTGCCAAGAAAATAATACTTGCACGAATGGAGTTAATACTGATAGGGGCAGAAGGTAGCTAATTAGTGATACGAATAAGACTCATGTGCTAACAATAACAGAAGACCAAAGCTAGTACGACTATGAACAGTGACATTCGCATTATTCATAAGATCACGACTAAACGTATTATTTCGAAGAGTCGGACGACGACTATTAATAGTATTGCGAATCGTAGTGCTACTATCTATGCTACGACGACCGAGCAACACACACCCATACCCATAGGAGGGTCGGAAGGAGGAGGACTGGCTACGGGTATGGGTGCGGGTTGTCGGACCCTGGGGGCAGCTCCCGTTCGAGCGGGGACCCCCATCCGACAACACGCACCCATGCCCCCATCCGTCCCCCCTGTGGGTATGGGTGCGTGTTGTTAGCTCGTCAATAACAATACCACTAATTAAATGTAATGCTATTTACTTATACAACTAGGACGAATATTACGAAGACTAAGAGGAGGAAAGATGACGATGATGAGAAGGAGGAGGAGGACGGACGACTGAGGACGGAGGCGGACGGAGGACGGAGGGGGAGGAGGAGGAAAAAGGAGGAGGAGGGGGGGGAGGAGGAGGCGGAGGCGGAGGAAGAGGAGGAGGAACAGGAGGAGGAGGACGCGGGGGAACAAGAGCATGAGCAGGAGGAGGAGGAGGCGGAAGAAGACTAAAAGGAGGATCAGGAGGAGGAACAAACCGAACAAGTATAGTACCAACAAGAAGAAGGCGAATGCGAAGTCTACTAACACAGTCTATTAATACTACGAAGCATTCGAAAACGAACGCTGCTAATACATACGAGGCGAATAGTGACAGTATGGAGAAGTCGAATCATAACACCAGTGCGCAGAGACATAAGAAATAACAATTCAACGAATCATAATGGTATCAGTGCCGATCGTACAAATGGTAATCATGATATTACGGTTAATTTTACGCAAGTAATAAGACTAGGGCGGAAACGAATGCTAGTAC